AAAGACACAATGAAAGTAATATCAGGGGTTTTTAGTTTACCCGGTCGAAAAAAAGTATATATATATATATATATATATATATATATATATATATATATATATATATATATATATATATATATATATATATATATATATATATAGGGTAAGTAACAATACTTGCAGTTGGAGAGAGAAACCTATATTCTTAATGCACCATTGAAAACTAAGTTAAGTAGTCATAAGGTTTTAGCAAAATGAATTTTGAAAAAAGTTTTCACTGTTAACTTTTTTCAAAATACATTTTCAACAAAAATTAAAAGATCAGCAGTCTAATATTTGGCGAGTGGTAGACGTCATAATGTCAATATTTATATTTATTTTTTTACCCCGTCAGTTGCAGTACTTGACGGGGTTTAAATCTAACCCTGAAGATGGTAGTTTTTTTATTGAAAAAATAATTCTAACCTTGGTGTGAAAACGGAAGACAAAATGACTTTTTAATTTTTATAACTTCTAGAGTATGTTTTGTAAATATTTCTGCTCTCTTGAAGCTAAAATAACCATGGTTTAATGGTTTTTATGCTTTATCATGATAAAATTTTTTTAACTGAACCGGTTGTTTTTAGCGAAGTTTGTGGTTTTCTTAAAAACTTTTCTGTTTAAAGAGAAATCGCATTAATTGGAAATTTTAATAAGAAATGTTTTTTCTATTAAATGGAAATGATATAAGTAGCTATAAAAGAAATATCATAAATGATGTTGGCATTACAGAAAATTCGTATAAATCTTATTTTAAAAATAGCGACAAAATATGATTGAACTTGGAAACGTTTTGAGGTGGAAGTAACATAAAACGAAAAAATTTTAAACTAAAACTGCATTAAATTCTTTATCAGTAAAGCAACATTACTGATTTTTTATCAAGAGCAGGATGTAGCCATAGGCTACATTTACACCAAGTTTCATCAAATTTTAAAGAGTCGTTCTCATTTTACCTATGTTTTTTATTTGTGCACTAAAAATTCAAAGTTTCACTCAATTAGAGCATTAAACTTAAAATTTTATTCCGCGGACAAAACTAAAAGATTTCAAAATTAGCATCACATGTTACCTAGACGTGTTAGTTATCATCCCATATAGATGGCGCTCTTGGGTCAGCAAGGTTGGATAACCGTGATCAGTATTGTTGATATTATTTATTTTGAGTTTTTTTCTCTATCTATTTTGTACTGCATTAACCAAGTTATTGAGTCACTTCATTCATTAACATACGCTAAAAATCTCAACGCAATGCAAAAATATATTAGAAAATTTGAATTTATTGTGATGTCATCATTTGAGATAAAGCTACTGAAACTGAAACTGATTTGTAAAAAAAAATTGATTATGTTCTACCCTATACTAGGCATTGGGTATAAGTCTTACTAACGTCTTACATATTCATATTTATTTTTCAGAAAAATTTGGCTTTGTTGTATAGACGCCCATAGAGTTTATTTCTATTTTTACCTGCGGGATTCGAAGGTGCTAACCTCAAAATATTGCCAAAAAATAACTATAGCTTATCAATTTTTTTGTATTTTTCAGATAAAAGTATTCAACTTATTTTTTTTCAGATAAAAATATTGACTTTTTTTTATTCTAATCATGATCAACTTTAACATCTATATTAAAGTTTTAAATTTATTTTGTTGTCCTCATCTGATGTGTTGTCATCTTATACCTAAAGTGAAATTATAATTGGATCTGATGAATTATGTGGACGTGTAAATACATCAAACACACTGTTTTTCCTTGAGGTCTAAAGATTATGATGTAACCAATATCTTTAAGTATTTTTGTTGCAACATTTTTGTGCTTCTTCACCCAAAACTCTTACGGAAACAGAAGAATTTGGAGTAATTTCTCCTCCATGTGCTAATATTTAATAGCCTGTCGCAGGAATTTTAATATCAATCAGCAGAAAAACCAAAAAAATGACATTCCGTGTTATGAACTTTACATCTTTATATATGTTATAGGGTTTTTAAAAACTAGGAAATTTTAAAAAATAGGAAAAAGTTAAAACTTCTAACTCTTTACGATTTCAATTTTTTTATTCATGCTGACTCTGCATTTTTTACAATAAGCTTTTTTTCATAACTCGTCTTATACTAAAGGCTGATTTAATCCATATTTTATTTGAGTTACTTATTTGCTTTGAAAATAATAGTAGAAATAATGCCTGAACATTAGGCCATTATTTCTATTATTTTCACAATAAGCTTGATATTTCATTGGAAAATATGAGAAAATGTATTACTCTATTTCCACTAGCCAGTCTCGGTGCAAATCTTTATGATTCTGAAATATAATCTAGTATGTTAGAAGAAAGTGTTTAGTTCCTTAATTGAAAAAGCTAAAATATTAAAGCATATTTCACAATGTTCTAATATGTCGTCCTCAAACAAAAGAACATTTATTAAACTAAAGTTGATTAAAAAATATAATAAGATGAGGGATGGAAGACAGAAATACTTAATTAAAATAAAGTATTTTAGTCTCTTCTAGCTGGTACCATATCTGAAACATTTTGAAAGAATAGCAAACGTAATTTAACACCATTTTCAGTGTGTGGGATAGAGCCATGTTAGGAATTGTGATAATAAACTTATGCGCATCTGTTATCTACTCCTTCAGTTTTTCATTTTTATGTAAACGTAAGTGTAAACAGTACTCACACTTGATAAAAGTGAAAGGATTATAACTTATTTATGAATAAAAATTTGTTAACAAAAAAAATATTTTTGTAAGTATAAATTTTATTTTCTTCCCTATACCAACTAAAAAATCTATTTTATAGTTTTTATTATTATTAACCGAACCTGCGAAATCTATTTTGGGGTTGTCCATAAATTTTGTCAACAAAATAGTGGGAGGAGGAGGGGGGAGGGGAGGCTGAATTTTTTTGACATTTGTTGACAGGGGAGGGAGGGGAGGGGAGGGGAAGGGAGGGGGGAGTTCAAAGTTGTTGTTGGTTCAAAGTTGTTGTTGGTAGTCTGCTATGCATACAAAAATAGTTTATGTAAGTACTCTATACTATATTTTTTAAACGTTTTACCAGGGGTCGGCAACCTGTAGTTGATGCGGCTCTTTAGCTCCATGCATAAATATTAATATATTGTTAAAATAAAGATTTGGTAGATAATTTGAAAAAAGATTTGAAGTGAAGATGTTGGTAGCTCTTTAAAAATTCTGCTTTTAAAGTGCTACCAATATCTTTATTTTAATATTATATTAATAGTCGTGCATGGAGCTTAAGAGGCGCATCTCAACATCGAAAGAACCACACGAGGCTTGCAATCCGCAGGTTGCCGACCCCTGGTATAAACGGTTAAATAATATAATATAGACCATGCACTTACATAAATCTTTTTTGTTTTCAAAGCAGACTAAAAATTTGTACATTGCAACTTTTGGCTCTTCTGTCTCAATAAGTTTTTTTTTTTTTTTTTAAATGTTGATTTAGGTGCTCCAAGAAGTCCTTACGGTCTTATCACAGACACCACGGAAGAGCATTTAATAGGATGTTCACGCCTCCTTCCCAACCGATGTCACAAAACTTGTCAAAGGTGGATTTGAACCACGGATCTTACGTTTCTGAGGCAAGTGCGCTACCACTGCGTCACGGCTGCTTTTAAGTTGCCGACCCCTAGTTTGTACAATTTGAAATATGTTCATAATTTAAACGTGTAAGGTGTATACTACGGATGTAACTTTTTGGTACCTCCAGTTTCCAATATAAAAAACAGATGAACTTTGGTTTGAAAGTTACTGAAAAGTCATTGGTTTTTAACTTTTGAAAAAGGTCACCCACCATGACCTTTGATTATATCAGTGAATTCCACATATCAGTGAATTTTAAAAAAAAAGTATATTAACCTGGGTCTCAAAAGAACCAGAATTTCATAGAGATAATAATGATTTCAGATGAAAATGATTTGCTTAAATTTTATATACAAAAAACAACAATTCCTAACTAAAAATTTAAAAGGTCGTTTTTTATGACATTTTGTTCGCAATATTTTTTATTTATTTAATGCTTTAGTAGAAAAGCTTATGAATTTTGAAATCAATATAAAATTCTGGTTCTTTTAAGACCCAGGTTAATATACTTTTGAAGAAAAAAAAAATTCACTGATATTTGGGAGCCAGTGTGTAATCAAGGGTCATGGTGGGTGACCTTTTTCAAAAATTAATGAAAACCAATGACTTTTCAGTTACTTTTAACCAAAGTTCATCTGCTTTTTATATTGGAAACTGGAGATACCAAAAATTTACCAAAAAGTCACGTCAATTATTTGTTTGGAGTAAGTTTTTGCAGTTATAAACTGAAAATATGTTCTTAAGTTTAATAACTTTTTTTCTATAACATTTACTTTACTCACCTTTTGTTCAGTGCAAGCATTTTTAATTTGAAACGGTTCTCTAAATAGTTTTTTGTTTACTTTTAATCTCTCTTTTGTTTTAGTTTTAGTATGTTAGCGTAACTTTTTAGGGAAGTCTCTGGAAGTTTGACAAGATGTTGACAAGAGGAGGGGAGGGGGAAGGTCAAAATTACTAAAAATTGTTGACATAATTAATGAACATCCCTTTTGTATAAATTGCTGTTTTTAAAATTTGGTGGAAATATTTAAGTTGATTATAATATGTGATGTAATAATATGTAATTGTGATCTGTTTTTTTTAATTTTTTTAAACAAACCTAACGATGTTATCACGACTATGTTATCATAAACCACGACCAAGGAAATTAGCATCTACTGGTTAGATTTCTTGTTGACATTCCAATTACTTTTTTCCGGCTAAAACAAGATTTAAATGAAGAAATCTTAGATCCAAAGACAGCTGCACAACGGTTCTAAGCTATGGTTGCAATAAAAAATCATTGACACACTTGATTAAGCTTAAAATATATTAACTTAAAAAGAAAACATTCTGATTAAGGCATATAAAAATATATTTCAAAATGCAATTATTCTTTCGTTATAAATATAAAAGTATAAAAAAAAAAATTTCAAATTAAAAAAAAAATAACTTTCAAAATATAAAAAATATATAGAAATTTAAGTATAACTAAAAAGTATAAAAAGTAAATAAAAAAATCACCAATTGTTCGAAATAAATACTTTAACATCATATTGAAGTATTGCTAAAATATATAAAAAAATTAATAAAAAAAATTCACAAATTTATCAATTGAAGTAGAAACATTTACAGTTTCACAGATTCGTATATAGCTTTTGCTTCTTCACTTTCTGGACAACTGACATTTTCTGTAAAAAAAATAACTAAATAACTAAAAGTTTTTAAAATAATATTAAATATAAAAAACTAAAAGAGGAATTAATAAATTTAAGTAGAAACAATAGTTTCACAAATTTGTCACACCCACGAAATGTAGGATCCTAATACCAACACAAAAAACGTAAAAAAAAAATTCTTTTAAAGGTTACATATATCATGTTAATTGACGTGTAAACGATTATATTGGGTTGGCTAATAAGTAATGGCCGTTTTTTCAATTTGAATTGACGCGTGAATAATAAAGTGTTTTGGTATATTGTTTTATTGTTATTCGAAAGAGTATTCTTTTCTCTATAAGATAGTATATGAAATTTTTTTGTTGACCTTAATTTTTTTTTATTTTCAGATCATTGAAATGAAAAGTGCCAAGTCGACAAAACCGAGCATTTTCGACACCTTTTTGCGTTCAATCAAGGTGCCACGGCCGCAAAAGCTGCTAGTGACATTTGTGCTGTGTACGGAGAAGGCTCTACGCCTGAAATAACTGCTCGAAATTGGTTTGCAAAGTTCAAAGACCGCAATTTCCATCTTAAGGACGCTCCTCGTTCCGGGCGACCAGTCGAATTTGATGAAGAGCGTTTGAATCAACTTTTGCATGAAGACGCGCTAAACCACTCGGGAGTTGACAGAGAAGATGGGATGCGTGCACAGCACTGTTGAGCATCACTTCACTCGATGGGAAAGGTTCAAAAGTTTGGCGCGTGGGTTCCACTTGCATTGAGCGAAAACAACAAATATCAACGTTCAACTATTGCCGCCAGTTTGCTTGCCCGTCATCGCAAAGATTCCTTTATCGAATTGTTACGGGCGACGAAAAATGGTGCCTGTATATCAATATGAAGCAGCGCAACGAATGGCTCAACCCGGACAAAAAAGCGACACCGGGAACGAAGCAAGATCTTCATCCTCGAAAGACACTGCTGTGCGTATGGTGGGACTGTGAAGACATTATTCACAATGAATTGCTTGACCGGAGCCAAACAGTGAATGCAGATCTTTATGTTCAACAGATGCACCGCCTCAACAACGCTATTCAACAAAAACGTCCCAATCGATAACATGGTGTTCTTCTTCAACACGACAATGTCCGACCACAAATCGCCAATTTGACCAAGGAAGCTATTCTGACGCTTGGTTGGAAAGTGCTACCGCATCCTCCATATTCTCCGGACTTGGCGCCTTTAGATTTTCATTTTTTCCGATCGCTTTCTAACATTTTGCGCGGCGTTTCTTTCAATAATAACTTCGAATTGCAGGCTTGACAGGACGAATTTTTCGAGTCGAGACCGAGAGATTTCTACCGAAGAGGCATTGAACAACTCGTGGAACGATGGGAACAAGTCGTAAACAACAACGGAGAGTATATTATTGATTAATTTTTTGTTAATTATTGTTGAAAAATAAAACTAAAAAAAATTGAAAAAAACGGCCATTACTTATTAGCCAACCCAATATATACTATGCTAATTGACGTGGAAGTGTGCCACACATAGTGTTGGTCCTAAATAATTAAAAAAGAGTTCATATGAAATTTTATTTATATCACATCAAAAGAGCTTTGACATTTTTTGACATTTTTAGTATTTATCAAATTATTCATCAAAAGTTCTTGATCTTGACTTTCTTGAACGTTTTTCATAGTTTCATTTAGCATATATTTTATAATAACTTTGTATTGAACTTTATTTGACTATAAACCTTTTCTTTAACAAATAAATGCATGACATATTAGTCGATAATATCATAAAAATTAAAATGTTTAAACTCTAAAAAGCACTTTTAAATACTATTGTTACTACTTTTTTATGAAATAAAATGATGTCAGATAAGGTAGAATCATTAAAATACCATCATTTTATGACATCAACAAAGTATATTTAAATGATATATAATAGAAAGCAATCTTACACTATATCTCATGAAAAAATATCACTAGTAACATAATGACAAAAAATCTTGAAGTTGTCAGGAAGCCTCATTAAAAAGGCGCATAATTTGTATATGACTCGCATACAAATTTAACAGATGAATGGTATGTGAAAATAAATAAATATTGTCAAATATAAAAGAAAATGTTTTTTAAATCAAACGCAGGTGACTTTAAATCAAAAGAAATAATTTAAATTAAAAGTAAATATTTCAAACTATTTTCATGATTTTTAAACGAATTTCAATATCACAAAACTTAACAATTTAATTTATTTTTGTATTACATTTGCTCATTTATAATTTCTTCACACTCAAACTCGCTGAGAACTGCTCCTTCCTCTAAAATTCCTCTAGTCATTTTTGTCGTTTGTATCCATCTATTCAGAATATTAGCTGCAACTCTCTTTTCATCAAACTTTGCTTTAACAATGTGATGATTTTTCATAAACTTGATAATTTTCTCAGCTTCTTTGATAGCCTTTAGACTTTCAGGATGACTCAAACTGTCCTTAATGAGAAGATTTATACTGTGTGCTTCACAGCCGTATGTCGAGATATGTGGAATGTTTTTGGAGCAATTTCTTTCAAAGATGCATTTTTCTCATCCACAAGTTGAATCAAAACATACTTTGCCATACTAAGGTCGTTCATTGAACTTAATTGACTGAGCCATCGAGTCGAAGCAAACATTTTCTTCAATTAATTTCCAAGCAGCATGATGTTTGTTTGTGTGCTGCAATGCAATCTTTTGCCCATTGAAATGTCTTTTGGCAGGCAATGCAAGTTCCAGTTCTCTTTACTGTATCGAGATTTTGCAAATACCTATTTATTGTAAAGTTTTCCATTGTCTTTCTGTTTGAAGAAAAACATCTAATTAAACTATAAATTTTTGAGTTTTTTATTGTTTCACTTATCTCCTTAATTAAAGCACTTTAATAACTAATAACTTAAAGTTATTAATAAGTGTGTTAAAGAGATTTAATAGTGGAATTAAAAGATTTGAACTTTTAATTCCACTATTAAAACTGATCATTTTTTTGTTTCAAAAGCACATTAATTGAAAATTTCATGAAAACTAGAAACTTTTTGTCTCTCTAGTCAAAACAATTTAAGGGCTTTTAATGATTTGAAATTAAAAAAAAGTTATGTGCAAAGGTATGCGCATAATTATGCAAATATATGTGCACAACTTATTGACAAATATCTGCATATACAAATTTTTCTGAACCCTAATTAAAAAAGATTATGCATAGACTACAATGGTGTGATGAACAGAAACACAAAACTATTGAGCAATGAAAAAGTAGTTCGGTTTAATATGTCACCTTTTAGCATAAGATGAGCTACAAAAACTTTGTAGGTGGAAACAACAAGAACTGAACAAGAAGCTGACAAGGTGGAAACATGCTGACAAGAACTACATCATGAGTGTATTAAACCTGCTGTTAGCATAAAAGAAAGTTAAAAAAATGTTAAACTGTTGCTAGAGAAATAGTTTACAGAATTATAGTATTATGGAACAACAGTTTCATGGAGCCCTTATTTATCATGCCAAGTTTATTTTGCATGGTAAATAATAGATATTCACATGTCTATTCAAGTCTAGGAACTATTAACATATCAAAATTATTTCAATAAAACAATGGTATTAAGCACATTCATAACCAAAACAAATTTTTTAAAAAACTTTTATTTGAACAGCGACCATAATAGTATTTGTAGAAAAGAGAAAGAGATTCAAACTTACAACTATTGGAGAGTGGCTCAAGCTAGGCGGATTGAGCAAGCTCAAGCTAGGCAGATTGAGCAAGGCCATTTACATTTACAATGGGTTTTTGTACCTTGTCTAGAAGAGAAAGAGCATCTTTAAAAGAACTGGCCCAAATGTGATAGTAGTGTAGTGGAAGAGTTCTAGCCTAAAAATTTCTTACCAACTTGTTTCTCAATACAGCGCTCTTGTTCATTAAGGTTTATGTTAGTATAAGTAGCCTCCTTGATCATAGTGGACCTCTTGGCCTTGGGAGGTGAATAACATTCACTTAAGATAGCTTTCCAAAAAACATTTCTGTTTATCCAAAATATTAGCCTGCTATCATTTTTGTATTTTATTATTTGCTTATTACACAGAGACTAAAAAGTTTCAGTATGTGTTTTTTTCTGTGACTATAGATTACTTTAGATCTTTTACTATATTAATGTGATGAGTACTTCCTCAGACAATACTACAGTAAAGAACGCAAAAAGCTGTGTATTAACAAAAATTAAGAAAAAGTTTTGTTTTATTTAAAAGGAAATAATTTTTGAGATCTTGCTTTCAATATATTTAATACAAGAATTCCAAGACAATATTTTATCTAAAAGTACTATTTATCAGTATGCATTATTTTATCAAATTATTCTTCTAGGAAGTTTTTAGTTTTTAATTCTTTTTTTAACTAATATTTAATATTAAAGCCACTTTATATTTTATGTATTATATACAATTTTTACTAATATGATATAATTCTTTTTTATTTATTATAAAAATTAGAGCCACTCTAGATTGTCAAGGAGACCATTAATTTAGGTAAGAAACAATACAGGAGCAAGGATAGAACCTTGAGGTACCCCAGAAGTAATTAAAAATGAAGAAGAGTATTGAATTTATGGATGACTATAAGATGGTTAGAAAGAAATGATTTGATTATATCAAGAAATGATTTAATCATTTCTTTCTAACCATAGTATTATAGTCAAAAACTTTCAAAAGTAGTATTAAACTCAAAAACTTTCCCAGATGCATCATATAAAGCGAGCTTATGGAAAAGACCAGCATTCCAAACATTATCAAAAGCTTTTAATATATCAAGAGCAATAACCCTTGCTTTTTTACTTCTATTTATATATATATATATATATATATATATATATATATATATATATATATATATATATATATATATATATATATATATATATATATATATATATATATATACATATATATATATATATATATACATATATATATATATATATATATACATATATATATATATATATATATATATATATAATATATATATATATATATATATATATATATATATATATATATATAAGGATCTCTTAGAAATTAATGAAAAAACTTTAAAATTTTTTTTTAACAAAAGTAAAAACAAATAAAAAGTAGTAAACATGGAAGACGAAAACACATATATTAAAAAAAAAGTAAAATAAGAAGAAAAAGTAAAAAAAAAAGAATATAAAAGAAAAACTAATGTTAAATGTAAAGAATGTTAAGAGAAAGCTGTGGAATTTGTATATAAAAAAAAATGAAATTGCAAGTAATAACACTAACAAACAATTACTAGTTTACTAGTAATGAGAGTTTAGAGATTAAAGACAAACTTGCTAGTTTTTTTTTTTTAGTTTAAAGATTGAATTAAACAGAGCAATTTAAGATTCTCCGGAATCAAAGAAGATCAAAATGAGACATGGGAAGAAAGTGAAAAGAAAATTCAGAACTTTTTAAAATCAAAACAATTGTAGCAAAGTTTTTAAATATATCTATATATCTATATATATATATATATATATATCTATATCTATATATATATATATATATATATATATATATATATATATATATATATATATATATATATATATATATATATATATATATATATATATATATATATATATATATATATATATATATATATATATATATATAGATATATATATATAGTCAAAAAATACTAAAACAAAGTAGTAAAATAATAAAATGAATTATTAAAATATAAAACAAAAAGCAACATCTATAGGTGCTTGTAAAATTTAAAGCCAATGCTTGCTGTTTTATGAGTTAAAGCTTTTTTATTCGCGCCTTTTTTTCTTATATGAGCAATAGCTCATATAAGAGTTGAAGCTTTCGCGCAAAAAAAAAAAAGTAATCGCTTTAAATTTTTATTCACCAAATTTGAAAAATTTCTCCAAAAACTCAGAGTAAGAGCAATTGTTTATTTTTATTCACAGCAAATCTTGCATTCTATTGGCCTATCTTGCATTCTATTGGCCTATCTTGCATTCTATTGGCAAATCTTGCATTCTATTGGCCTATCTTGCATTCTATTGGCAAATCTTGCATTCTATTGGCAAATCTTGCATTCTATTGGCAAATCTTGCATTCTATTTTGTGGAGCATTTTTATCGAATAAAATAGTTTTGAAAAATTTTCATTTTACTTGTGAATGAAGTTATTATTAATTTAAAAAAAACTAAAAGCAATTATTTTTACTATTGATGACATATTTCTATATTTTTGAATATTTGCTTTTAATTGCTTTTTAAAATATTAGAATATTTTATTTTTAAAGAAAAATTTACTTAAACATTATTTGACCACTGTTTGATATGAAACTTTTGTCAAGTTTATTTTTTTATCTTGCTATTTTATTTTTATTTAAAATTCAAGTGGTCATTTTTAAGTTTGTTTATCAGAATATGCTGTAAAATTAAATGAACAACCAACAATTATATTTAAAAAAAACTACATATACAATAATTATAATACCTAGTTCCGATTTAGAGGATGGATTTGACTGAACACTTGATGATTCAACTAATGAATCTGATGATTGACTTAATGATTCAACTAATGAATCTGTTTGCTTAATAAATGACTCTATTTCCTCCTGAGAATTTGAATCTTTAACCTCCACATTATTTAATATATTTGAAGACCCTTCTTCACCTTCTGCATCTATAATCAAATAAAAATAAAATACAAAAATTTTAAAATAAGAAAACATGTATATGATATTGTTGGTAAAGGTAAAAGTCACTATATATAACTTTAATGAAAACTGAGTTAAATGTAATTTATTAAACATTGATATCCTATAATATCAAAAACTTCAAGAAGTAAAAATAAAAAATGTTTAAAAACAGGTGTGTAAACATTATTGTTATTATTACTTTGGTCATCATTTAATTTAAAGGAAGATTATAAATTTTAGATTACTATAGATGTTCTTGTTTGAAAAATTATGAATGCAATAAATATTTTGCTATATATATATATATATATATATATATATATATATATATATATATATATATATATATATATATATATATATATATATATATAAATATATATAAATATATATATATATATATATATATATATATATATATATATATATATATATATATATAAATATATATATATATATAAATATATATTATATATATATATATATACATATTTATATATATATATATATATATATATATATATATATATATATATATATATATATATATATGTATATATATATATATATATATATATATATACAAAAACCATACCTATACAAAGCTCGATGTTGATAAGTTGATTCAACTTAATTTGGAATCTAGCTCATCAGAACATGACTTAGGCATCATAATTAGCAATAACCTCAAACAAAACGCTCAGGTTTGCACTGCTATTTCTAAAGCAAAGATGCTTGAGATGCTTAAAAAGACCTTTGTTTCCCGCAACTTTGGAAAAAATTATACATAGTGTACGTGCGTTCTCATCTTGAATTCTCTGCTTCAAGTTGGAACCCACATACAATTAGGGATATATATGTATTGGAGAGAGTCCAAAGACGCGCTACCAAGATAGCCCACAATATAAAGCATCTACCTTATGAAAATAGATTAGGCATTTTAGACTTGACCACCCTTGAAGAAAGATGTCACCGTGGTGACTTAATTCAACTTTTTAAAATCGAATCTGGAAAAGAAATAGTTAACTGACACCACACCCCGATCCGTTCTGCGCCACGCCATGGACATAGAAGCCGACTGATCAAGGAGATAGTTAGAAATAATATCAATAGAAGCAACTTTTTTACAAACCGAGTTGTTAACAGCTGGAATAGCCTACCGGACGAGATTGTTAATGCTGGAAGCCTAAACGAATAGAAAAACTAGTTGGACAGGTTCCAACAAAACCGCCACAGTGCCATAAAGGCACTCTATGCAACACGATAAAGTTGCATTGCGGTCATCATACTAACTAACTAACTATATATATATATATATATATATATATATATATATATATATATATATATATATATATATATATATATATATATATATATATATATATATATATATATATATATATATATATATATATATACCCGGGCATTTGTTTTTAAAAGTTACGTTCTAAATGTGTTTTAAACGTCTTTTGAAAATTAATGTTTAAAAGACGTTTAAAAGACATTTAGATCGTAACTTTTAAAAACAAATGCCCGTCGGGTATATATATATATATATATATATATATATATATATATATATATATATATATATATATATATATATATATATATATATATATATATATATATATATATATATATATATATATATATATATATATATATATATATATATATATATATATATATATATATATATATATATATATATATATATATATATATATATATATATATGTATATATATATATACACAGTACTGTGAATATGTTTTAGACCACTTACATTTTCTCAAAAAATCCAAGAGAATTCTTCCTTAAGTTTCGAATTCTATATTATAAAATTATTAAAACACATATATTTCACACAAAATATGGAACAATAACAAACTTTTTAATGTCACACTTCATAAAAAAACCCTTAATATTTACTATGTCCTCCTTTTGCCTTAATCACAGCCGATATTCGCCGGGAAATAGATTCATACAAATTTGTTATAAAATCCTGCGGTATGTTGTGCCATTCTCTTTGAAGTACTTGAAAACATTCTTCAGCATTTCGGGGAGCATGTTCAACCTTTTTCCTGTCCAAGTAATCCCAAATATGCTCGATTATATTCAAATCTGGACTCTGAGGAGGCCAGGTCATCATTTCCAGTATTCCTTCTTCTGCCATTTCATTTAAATAATTTTTTTGCCACTCGGGAACAATGTTTTGGGTCATTGTCCTGCTGCAGAATAAAATTATGGCCTATTAGTCTCATTCCGTATGGTATAGCATGCTGTCTTAGAATATCCACATAACGTTCCCCGGTGAGTCGTCCCTCTATTTTGATCAGATCACCTACCCCAGATGAAGATAAACAGCCCCAAACTTGTAAAGAGCCTCCTCCGTGTTTAATAGTAGGGTTTAATCACTCGGGCTGATAGGCTTCTCCTATTCTTCTTCGAACATATTGACGTCTTTTCGTTCCAAAAATTTCAAACTTGGACTCATCAGTATACAAAACCCGATTAAACATTTTCTGGGTCCAATCTTTGTGTTGTTTTGCATATTTAAGTCGTTTTTCTCTATTGCCACGCCGTAATAAAGGTTTTCGAATAGCAACGCAGCCTCGTAATCCTGATTTGAGTAGGTGTCGTCGAATACAAGAAGAGCTAACATTTTCCCCAGTTGCTGTATTAATGTTCTTTGCCAATTCGGTGGATGTTTTTTTCCTGTTTCTTAATGAAAGGGTTTTTAAATATTTATCGTCATCTTTTGTTAGCTTAGGAGGTCTGCCACTTTTCTTTCTATTTCTAAGGGAGCCAGTTTCTCTAAACTTTTTAATGATTTCTCTAATAGCAGTCTTCGAATATCCTGTTTTGGAAGAAATTTGGCGCTGCGAATAACCTTCTTCGTGAAGCACAATAACTTTCTGTCTCTCTATTAAAGATATTTTACCCATAGCAACACTTAATTAATCTAAAAATGTAAACTAATAACTTTATTTAATCATTTTTAACTATTTGTTTAACTGTATTCATAAAAAATAACAACTTTTTAAAAAATGTACCAAAACCGATCATTATTGTATTAAATTCACTCTATGACTACATTTTATACTGTTAAAAACTTAAATGAACGAATATGAACCTGAACCAGTAAGAAAAAAATCGAAAATATTATTTTTATGTATTATTTAGATGAACGTTTGGTCTGCAGTTTTTTTTTTTTTTTTGTTATTCACCTCCTCAAGACCGAGAAGGCCACTACAGACGAGGAGGCTACTTAATAGTGGTTATAACCCTCTCTCAAATCTATAACTCCAAAACACGAACCTTGACGAACAAGGCCGCTGCGCGTAGAAACAATTTGAGCGCGGTACTACCAGGGACGTGGTGGGGATCGAACTCGGAACCTCTTGCTTATGAAGCGAGTGTTTTACCACTACACCACTACCGCAGTTATTATGAAAATTATTGTTTTAATAAATAAACAAACATATCCTTCATGTTCCTCATAAATTTTTGTTTGTTTATTCAAGATAATATATTCTTTCAACCTTTCTCAAATATTACTCAACTTAAGTATGCTTAAAAAAAAAAAAAATACACAGGAAAAAAATTGAAAATACAACTAATTATATAAGTGGTCTAAAATATATTCACAGTACTGTATATATATACATATATATATATATATATATATATATACATATATATATATATATATATATATATATATATATATATATATATATATATACATATATATATATATATATATATATATATATATACATATATATATATATATATATATATATATATATATATATATATATATATATATATATATATATATACATATATATGTATATACATATATATATATATATATACATATATATATATATATATATACATATATATATATATATATACACATATATATATATACATACATACATATATATATATATATATATATATATATATATATATATATATATATATATATATATATATATATATATATATATATCAGGAAAACAAGATGAAAGAAGCGGATTCCAAAGAACTGATGTTTAAGGAAAAAAACTAGACAAATAAGAACTAAGGAACAGTTACAGTAAAGGGATGAGACTTAATGGAATGACAAGTAACACAAAATAAATTTTAGTAGCCATTATAGTATTCATAGAAAAAAGAAAAAGAAGCAAAATTACAACAATGTGATAATAGTTGGAGGCTGGCTGCAAGAGCAGGTCCAACTATGTTTACAAATTGTTATTCGCACTTTGTCTAAATCAGAAGGGGTATCATTGAAAGATCCCCCTCCCCCCCACCCCAGATATGGCAACAGTATTCCATACAAGGACGAATTTGAGATTTATAGAGATAAAGTATAGAATCAGGTGTAAGAAAACAGTCAAATAAATTGTTTAAGAATTAAAAAAAGTGAGAGAAAATAAAGTTGAACTGCTAAGAATAAAATAATTTAAATATGAAAAATGTAACAAAAGTGTTATTTACTAAAAATATAATCAATTTAATGATCTTAGATCACCCGGGCAGCACTTATATTTTGCATTAGTGAGTAGTTATAATAATTATGAGTGGTCGAATGTTTTTGGACATGATTATTCATAATTATACATATTAAATATTCGAGGTTCTTGAGGGACCCTTTCAGTTGTTTTTTTTTTTTGTTTTTTGGGACACCCTTATATATATATATATATATATATATATATATATATATATATATATATATATATATATATATATATATATATATATATATATATATATATATATATATATATATATATTTTTATATATATATATATATATATATATATATATATATATATATATATATATATATATATATATATATATATATATATATATATATATATATATATATATATATATATATATGTATAGAAGTACAACTTGCTAAACATGCACAAATACAACCTTTAATGGCAGATGGTAAGTCTGAACAAATGATTGCTGCATGTTTAAAGGTGCTCAAGACAACTGTTCATAATTTTTTTCAGCGCACCAAGTTACCAGATAGCATCCATCCAGAAAAAACCAGAAAAGATTAAGAATTACCACAAAAACCATAAACATGATATACCTTTTTTTTTGAAAGACATACAGACGTAAGCTCACCAAATCTCCAATCAAAATCTGCTGCATCAAAATCACATCTTTTTTATAAAAATGTTCATGACTGTCTCAAATTTTGAAAAAATGAAAATAAGAATCGGAAGAAGTGCAAGTTAAGCAGTTTGCAGGACACCAGCCCAATGTTTGCTGGTTACCAAACTCATGCTTTAATCCCCAATATCACTATCTATTAAGAATGTCAGATTTATACCTTTTACAACAAGATGATACTGTTAATTTTTCAAATTATTTGGAAATTTTGAAAAACGATGTGTCTAGTTTTGAATTAAAATGTTTAATATTTTTATACACAACAGGACAACTTGTTAACAGGAAAAAGTTGCCAAATTGTGGTTCTTAATGGTGATGTTTTTTTTTTTTTGAATGAAACTGTTTTCTAGTAATAAATATACAGTGATTTTGAACATTTAAGATTTGCTCCAATATGCTTGACCCTTTATCTAGAAGTAAAATCTACAATAAGCTTGTCTTCACTCTTATAAGAAGAATTACAAAAAATTTAGGAGTTTGTTCTTGAGATAAAAACAATATTAATTGAATAAAATAGAATTGTTATAATTATTAATTAAAAGCACACAAAAACATGAGAATCAAATTTGCACTATTTTGAGTGCTATGAAAAAACCTAGAAAGATTATGGCATGAAATATTGCCAAAATTCAAGATTTAAAATAAGCTGAAGAAATTTAAGATAAAGAATTATATTAGTAAGAAAAAAACAGTTTAAGAATTAGTAAAAACCCTAATTAAGGATTAGAAGAGATTAGCTCAAACAAGGATTAAGAAGAGCTTAGCTCAAACAAGGATTAAGAAGAGCTTAGCTCAAACAATAATTACACATGACACCCTAAATACACCCTAAATGATTAGTAATAATCCTAGCAATACTCTTATATCATTAATTGTCATTATTCATGTACATTTTTATAAATATCATTATTCATGTACATTTTTATAAAGTGCACGAACACAAATTTAAATCTGTCTTCATACATGCTATTAAAAATATTAAAAAAAAATTTTATTTTCTTTATTCTCAGTTTTTCTAAAACCACTATTCATGCAACTGTGAAAATGTACTTTCAAAATGTATAAATGACTTACCAAAAACTTCTGCAAAAGTTTTCTGCCTTTGTAAAATCTTTTTTAACTCAGAAACACTTTCTTCAACTGAAGTTGACGACTGAAAACTAGATGCTTTTCGTAGTTTCACTGTTGCAAATTCAGGCTGTTTTTCTGTAGCATCAGCTTTTTCTTTTTGGTTGGGTTGAGTTGAACGCATATTTGTCTACAAATATGAATTTGTTATTTAATAAGCAAATTCTTGATAGAAGACAAAATTCTTTAGCAGTAACTATTTGATTATTTTTAAAAACCTAAAAATAGTTTAAACTTTAAACCAAAACAAATAGGCAATAACTCTTAAAAAAGATGATAGCTGATTCTTTAAAGAAATGATAACTGATCTTTAAAATTAATTTACATTTTTTAAAATACTTGGATCTTGAAAAATTTGAATCTTGAAAAAAAGCCATTATTTCATGCTTTATTAAAAGCAATACCTAAACTTAATTCTTTTATACTTAAACTAAATAAAATCTGCAAAACTTATAGAAAAAATCACTCACTAGCCTACTACAACCAATTAAAATCACTCACTAGCCTGCTACAACCAATTAAATGCCCTATCTATTAAACACTGTTTATTATACACCACACATGTACTTCATATTAAATAACTAGTTTTAGAAATGTTCAAATCTTTAAAACTAGGTGTCGGATGATTCTTTGTGGTAATACCTCAAGTAGTGCATTTAGTAATTTATGTTAACACTTTGGGCAGTAAGGTAATACTTTAGGTGGTGCGAGGTAAAAAAATATTTAAAAAAAACTTATCTTAAGATATAAATATCTTAAAAATAAAAATAACAATGAATGCTATAAAAAAACAAGTAGTATAAGACTTGCTCATTTAGGTCCCATTTACAACTAACATGATCCTGAATTTAACTATAAAACGTATGTTGAAATGAATTACAAGTATGATTACATGCATTTTAATTAATTGATAAACTATAAAAAACAAACCAATAATCCAGCTAACTCTCCCATAGCTGACACATTTTCATCTTGGCTGTTAGGTTTCAATGGCTGTAAATATATTTACAAATTAATTATAGCTCATATATAAACAATCCTCAGAATTAGAAAAAATAAAGTTGGCAATAATTTGCAACTTTATTCTGTGTGAGGTCAGCAGACCTAATGTCAGCAGAAAAGGTGCAAAACAAAGGTTTGACCATAAAACATAGAAACGAGGCAGTTAGGTTGGCATTGCTGAATGTTGACCCTAATTCCGAGGGTTGTATAAACAAGGTTAAAATAAAAGACTGCGTAAAAATGTATTAATAATTCTAACCGAAGCAACAGAACGCAGTTTTACTCCTTTTTTTATTCGATCAATCATATCTTCCATGGCTTTACGCCGAGCCTCCTCATTATCTGTAAAATAAAAACTTATGAACAATAATTTAATTATAAACATTTAATTATAAACACAATTTAACACAAAAAATGTTTCTCAAAATAAAATGTTTTTTAAAACAACATAATTTTGAGCTGAAGTTTTTTAAATAAACACAGACCATCAACTTCAACATCCTTAGTTTTCTTTTTTTTACCAATCTTGAAAAACAATTTTCTAAAAAATTTTATTAAAAATTATTTGTTATGATACAAAATGAACTAGTGAATAAATAATAAAAAATCAAATAATTTAATGAATAAAAATAAGTGAATAATTTAATGGACAACAAAAATAAAAAAAGAAGTTAAATAAATGGGAACATTTTTAAAATTTATTGATTAAATAAAAAATAGCTTTAAAACATATTTAAGTATATTTAACTATGTACACATTAGACAGCCTTAAAAATCATTAAATTACTTACCTAATAATAGGAGCAGCTATTGGTGGTGGTGGAGGTGGAGGAGGGGGAGGAAGGAATTGTACTTGACTTGTGCCTTCCAATTTTTTTTCCAAAGATGAAATTCTTTCAAAAAGTGTTGAAACTAAAATAAGTATAGAAAAGCAAAAAATCAATTAAACAAAATAACAAAAAACCAAAAAAAAGAGAGAGCATTTAACAGGAAGTTCACGCCTCCTTCCGTACCAATGTCGCTTGTTGGGCTAGAGCTGGTGTTTAAGTAGAAAAGGTTGTTTTTTTTTATTAAAAAAAAATTGTTTTGTAGATATAATTTTTGCCTAAAGGGGATCCTCAAGTGCAGAGACAAGTTATGTTCATGTTAAAGAAAATTTAAAAAAAAAACTTTTGGGCTAAATTTTTTTGATTAAAACTGAATATAGATATCAATAAAACTAAAAATGTTGTTTTAGTCAAACTTGTCTTTCCATTTTTTCTTGGTTTCTTTATAGTCATTATAATATACTCCACAATCTGCAGACTTGATAGTTTATTTAATGAGAATTTAATTCAGAACAGTTTCGGTATATGACATCATTGTGGAATTTTATTTTAAAATGTAGTATTTTTTCTGCAACAATTGGCAAATCATGTTTATTGGTTTAATTTTTTACTAAATCCCAAAAAATTTCGAGATACAGTTAAAAATAAAATAACATATTTGGCTTTGAGATTTCAGTAGCCCAACTTGTTTTTAACATTTGTAAGTATAAATCTTTATCTAGATTTTTATATTAAAAAGTTAACAAGTATTCACATCTTAACGAAATCTATATTATTTGTCAGTGTAAGAATATATTATATCAAATTTATTTTGTAAAATTTGTATTACTTATTTACTTAAAATTTTAAAAGTGGGTGAATATAGAAAAAAGTTTATTAATGTACAATTCCTATTTTGATAAGAACTTTTTTTTTTTTCTAGTTTTTTGTTACTTCTTAATTATTATTTGAGTCTATTTAAGTCAGTCATGTGTACTCAACTGCAACTACTTAAATAAACTATAATTAACAACATAAATCAATATAACTACAAATAAACAACAATAGTTAAAAAACATAACTACTATGAATAAAACATTTAAAATTGAAGAAAATAGTTCCCAATAACTGATTTGAACCCGCTACTTAGACAACAGTGCCTCAAATTAGTACATTATTGACTTGATATTGTGTTTGATAACATCAGCTGTTGCTTCTTACAAATTGTTGGCTAACTTGTAAAACTAACAGATGCCAGAGAACTTGTTTTAACTTAAGATGATGGTACAGCTATCAGAGCAGATGCACTAATACTTTAATCATTATTTGGAATTATATTATTATAACTTTTATTCTAAGATTTTGACAGATGGAGAATGTTTTTTATGTTATTCATCTTCCCAAGGCTGAGAAGACCACTACACCCGGTGGGAAATTGGCTAGCGAATAGCTAGCTATAATCGTTACGATAAAGACAGCAACTTGGCAACGAGGATCGCTAGCTTTTTTAAGTTAGCAAAAAGCTATCGATGTTTGTAAAGATAAAGAAAGCGATTTGGCTACGAGGACAGCTAGCTTAATAAGCTAAAGACTCACAGGCTATTGTAGCTACCGCCATATCATAATAAAATCGCTATCAAAAAAAATTTTGGTATGTAGCTATCAACCAGCTATAGATTTGTAGATATTTTGTAGCTAGCTACAAAGCTACAATATGTAGCTAGCGACACATTACTACAAAATCGCAATGTTTAAAGTTCAATTATTCTCATAATTATAATAGACTCAACACTAAAAATCGGACTTTTAAAGATATTAGAGACATTAGTAGAGAATAAAAAAAGAAAAAAAAAATTGCTTGAAAATCGCTATAAAGCTAGCTAGTCGCTCGCTAGTTGCTAGCTCATTTCCTACCGGGCAGTCAAGGAGGCTACTTTATTATGGTTGTAACTCTCTCTCAACTCTTTAACTCCAAAACACGAATCTTGATGAACAAGGCTGCTGCGCGGAGAAACAAGTTTTTAAATTTGATATTCAAGTTCAAATTTGAAGTTCAACTAAAACTTCAGTTACTTCTTCCCATTCTCTAGTCTACTTTCTCTCATTTCTCATTGGCATTTTTAATTATAAAAAATACTACTTTTAAATCTAAAATAAATATATTTTAAATAAAGTTGAATTTAGAAAATTTATACCAATTTTTAATATTATTAAACAACAAAAAAAGAAAAGAAAATTTTAACAGAAACGAAATAAAAATAAATCCCAATAAAACCCAAAATGACGCACTGGGCTGAGTCTTTTTTAAAAAACTCCAGGTTTTTGCCAATCCTGATTATTCATTGTTTTATATATTACTACATCGTTATGTATTCATTTGTTGACTTGAAAAGTTATATTGATTTTGCTTTTTGTGATTTTATATAAATTAAATCAAATATTTCTCATTATTCAATTTTTTTTACAAAAATTCAATAACCAGTTAAAACTGTTTTTTTTTTTAGGAATTTTGAAATTCAAAAACTGGTTTTTAAAAAAGTCGGTTTTTGTACAAACCCTACAAAAAACTATGGAATTGAAAAACTATGAAAAAAAACAACTATGGAATCAAAAACAATCAAAAAAAACTTTCTGATCTTCAAGAAGATCAAGAAGAAAGATGCTAATAAGAATATGACAATAAAAAACTAACAAATATTAAAAAAACTTTCTAAAGTTACCTTCGTGCTCTGCATTTAATGCTCTTGTTTTGGCTTCTTCAAGTTGTTTTTGTGTAAGATCTAGCTCATCCATTAACAATGATACTTTATCTTGTAAAACTAGAACATAAATTTAATTTAAGATCATTTCAATTATCATCACCAGGCCAGTACCTAAATTTTTATAGGTAGTGGTGATGTGTGTGTTTGTGTTGAGGGAGGAGGAGGAGGGATTGTAGTTTTTAAAAAACAAAGAATGTTTTAAGTTTTAGAATAACAAAAAAATTTATTGCAAGTGTGTCATAATAACATTTACATAAAACATATTTAATTTTGCATGAAACAACTAAATTTGTATGAAACATAAATCTATTGCATTATAATTGATGATTTATAATTTTGTTTAAAATTAAATAAACTAATTGTTTATTCAATTCCACTTTAAAATATCTACTTTTCGAACTTTTGCCAAAACATTTATTAGTAATCAAGATTCAAAGAATCAAGAAAAGCTTCTCTAATTTTCTTTTCTACATTTATGTATCTCATACACACATATTTGTTGGTGTGCACTTATAACCTTTTAAAATCAAGTGGTAATTTAGACCTTTGCTTTCATTATTAAGTGGTAATTTTAAATTAACCCCAGTTTACTATAATCCAGAACTTTTATTTTAACAAAAAATATTTTTAATAGATAAAAACTATAAATTGAAAAATCCATCAATAATGAGGCCTGGTAGCTGAGATCTTTGTATAATAGCGTTTGAAAACATTTTTTAAATTCAGTGTTATGATGGCTGATTTCTAACACAATTTCAAAAAAGTTTCCTGAATTTCGCATTTGAACTGATTTTTACACTTTTCATGAGTTAAATATAAGCCTCTATTTTCCTTATCAAAAGCACTTTTCGAATCTTTTAATTATGTACAAGTTTATGTTTTTATAATGTCCCATGTTTTATTTATGCACATTCGCTAAAAATTTAAAAAGTACTGCCATTTTGTAAAGTTTGTCTAGAACCTATTAAACAATAACTAATGACAGTAGCTTGGTCTTTTAGATATATATTGGTTATATATACTTTTTGTTTCTAAACAAGAATTGTTGTGCCATTTATTTCATCCAGGTTAACAAAAGCTTTCAAAAATAATTTTATTATCCCTTGAAGAAAAAAACAGTATATGCAGAAAATCTCACCATTGCTTTAACTGTAAACTCTCACCATTGCTTTAACTGTAAGGTTTTTCAAAACATTTTTGTATACTTCATGTGAAGAAAATTCTTATACAAAAAAGTTCTTCGTTATCACATCTATTGTTTTTTAAAGATTATATTTTATTTTTGTTATATTCTGCATGAAAAGCTATCTTTCATACCATTAGCCATCATTATTAACTTCAAGAAACATTTTATTAATTATAGAATTTAGCTTCAAATGCTTTACAATGAAGGATAGAAATTTGCGCTTGAGTTTTCTTAACCAATTAAATAATTCTCATAAAAATTGCATTTAAATGATTTTACTTTGATAATAAAAAAGTTAATAAATGACTTTTGTTCCCAAACCAAAAAAAAGATTTATTACAAAAAATGCAAAATCATACCCAACAATTCCCTCATGGTAGTCACCATTATCTTAACTTAAGAACTTTATGCAAATGAAAACCTTTATTAAGGGTACAAAAGAAAATCTTTATTAAGGGTGCAAAAGAAAAACCTTTATTAAGCGTGCATAAGATAACCTTTATTAAGGGTGCAAAAGAAAAGCTTTATTAAGGGTGCAAAAGAAAATCTTTATTAAGGGTGCAAAAGAAAACCTTTATTAAGGGTGCAAAAGAAAACCTTTATTAAAAGTGCAAATCATTGTTATTTAATTAAGTTTAAAATTGCTTTCAGTAGTTATTTTTTTATGCATGATTACTTTTTATTAGAAATTTTTATTCATGTTCATTATAATTAAATGAAACAAACTACTAAACATATATGTTGGCATATATGTTTAGTATCGGTGATATTGCCATAGATGGGGTGGTGGGAATATACATCGACTGACTGACAACCAGGGGCACAGGGAACTATACATACATTACCAAAAATAAATCCTTACTTATAATTGTACTAAAATCCTAGAAGATATTTTTATATCACTAGAGTGCAGCTTAGAAAAACTAATCTAACAACTTAAGTTGAATTAACTTACTACTAAATTTTATTTAATATAAAGGTTAAAAATATAAATAACGCATAAACCTTTAAGTTCACTGGTATTTTTGAAAGTTGCTAATTCATTTTGTAGTTCTTTTATCTGAGAGAAATAAAAATAATACATAACTAGTTTATTAAATATACATAATATCCAATTAGATAACAACCTTTTTACAGTTTTTAAATAATATACTTTATCAATATCAATTGAAAACACCAGTTATAAAAACTAATTAAAGTTTCTAAATATATAGATTTGTTTTTGGTACATTAAATATTTTGATAGTTTTGTACATATACTAGTAAATGACCAGGGCCTCGGCCCCACCTAAAAATGAGACTTTTTGCAAATCCAGGCCTGGCATCGGCAAAATTATAAGTTTTAGCAGGATTTGATAGCCAGGGCTGAAAATACATTTATGATTCTTTTGTATACTATAATTTTATACTTACATTTACTATTTTTAAACTCTGGCATATATTTATGCCAGTATTTAATATATAAAGTCACATACAGTAAAAGGAATAAGAAGCCATGCAAGAATGAGTTTTGGTTTATTGTAATAGAGATGATAGCTTGTTTGAGCATTGACCATGATTAGAGAAACAGCATAAATAAGGAAGGCTAAAGCTTGCTGCTGCTGCTGATGATGATGATGATAATGACAATAATGATGATGATGATGATGATAATGATGATGGCAATGATGATGATGATGATAATAATGACAATAATGATGACAATTATGATGATGATGAACATGATGATCATGATCAAGTTGATCATAATGATGTTTATAAATGCATATATATATATACAATATCAAACATGAATTTTGAAGAAAAAAAAAGTACTTTAGGATGTATAAATGTTTATGCAGCTCCGGTCAACACTGATTTGATCAAATATAGCCAGGGCTATATTTGATCAAACCCAATCCCGGTCCCAATAAAATATCAACCCCGGTCATTTACTAATACATACAGGTGCAAAAAAAAAAAAAAAAGAGTTTACACTAATATTTTTTCTTAACTTAAAGTGTAAAATTTAAATTCAAGCACAACAAAAAAAATTGGATGCAGCAGTAAAAAATACAGGACAGCAGTTGTATGTTTATATATACACTAATAGCAGTTTTATGTTTTATTATTTATTAAGATATAATCTTTGAAAACAGAGATTAAAACAACTACATTTAATATATCAGAAACCAGCTGACAAACATATATATTGGAAAAGTAGTAGAAGCTGGTTACCAAGGAGAGTCTCACAAAGTATTCAAAAGCCTTTTTAACAACTCAAAACTCAACTATTAGCAGATTAATGAAGAACTATAAATGCATTGGTAAAACTAAAAGGCTTTTCAGATCAGCTAAAAAACATAAAACTTAAAAATTGAAATATTGTTACAATTTTGATGCAGTATATTGTAGCATTCATGTGTTTTGAGATTATATATATATATATATATATATATATATATATATATATATATATATATATATATATTCATTTATAAATGCAGCATTAAACGCACAAGAATGACATCATACAAAAACAGGAAGTTGTGGGGACTTCAGTATATAGATCCACTATTTTATACCTTGCTGCAAAGGAGTGCTGTTGCATCGACTATAGGTTTGACAAATATGCAGCAATTTTTTTTTTGTTATTCTTTGTTGATGTTTTTTTTTTTTCTGAAAAATTAAAGTGTATATTTTTACATTAAGAACGCAAAAATGATTTTATGAAATAGTTTAAGATATAGTTCAAAAACCTAACAACACTCCTTGCATGTTCTACTTATTTGTCAATCGATGTAGCAGTACTCCTAGAGTTATTATAGACATCTTCAAATACTTAGTAATCATTTTTTTAGAGTTACTACCTTCCATTAAAAGTTAAACTTTTAGTACATGTTTATCAAATGTTGTAGCCATGCTCTAAGATAGTAATAATTTAACTACACATAACTTTAATGTAAATGGAAAATATTTTCCTATTGGTTGATAACACTTCAGTATCCCATGCATTGCATATTGTTTAGAGTGTTGCATGCATTTTAAATCGATAAGTAATTATCTATAATATTTATTAGTGGCCCAATCTTTTTATCCATAACTGTGTGTATATATGAATTTGTACAAATTTAGCAGACAGGCATTATTCTACACATAAACAGCATATTTTTATGGAATAAAACCCAGAAGTTTTTAGTATTTTTCATTAAAAAAATAATATTACGAAATTATATACCATATGTACTCTGTTATTTTCTATAAAATAGAAAACTCATCTTGATTATCTTTGGATTTAAAAAAAATGACATAGATATTTAGTTTTTTAAAATATTCTAAATATGTAAAACAAATTCTAAAAATGGTAGGAACAAAACTAAAATGGAAAGTGTTTA